TCAGGATTTTTTTACGTCTAAACTATTCATTATCGGTCAAAATGGCTTTCATGTCCCCATCTCAACTTTTGATTCACTATCTACTGATATTTAATTTAGGCGAATACAGGGTAGGTAAAAATTCAGAATTTTGAACCACCCTGTATTCGTTCAAATTAAATATCAATAGATGGTAAATCAAAAGTTAAGATGGGTAACGTTTCGACCGATAATGAATAGTTTCGACACAAAAAATCCTAAAGTTAAACAATCATGATTTTTAACGACATCTGAGATTAGGGGGTGACAAGTTTGAGCTGGGACACACTGTATATGTTTTTCACGATGGCTCCCTTTAGACATTTTTCCGGATTGAGAACTTTTCCAGATGCCAATAAATAGTTGAAAATTATAGATGAGCACGTCATCCGCCATTTTTGTTAGATGAAAATTGTTGTTTGGAATCCGCGCGTCCAGGCACCATTTCGAAAGACACGTTTTTTATCGGAATCAAAATGCAGCACTTGAAATACCATGAAAGTGGAAAAGAAAGAAAAAATGGACAAATAAGCAAAAATAATATTTTGAGCCCCTGAGTATTAAAAATTGCCTGTGCATGAATGAAAAGTACCTACATCGTTGAATAGACATTTTGGTGCTCTTTTCATACATGGCAAAAAAATTGGGTGTTGTTTTCGGGCAAAAAGAATAATTTGTGAATTTTTAGTGATGCCGGACCTGGAAGTTTTCTCCTGTTCCTTTCTTTTGTTGAAAAAAATATAACAGGTTGGTTGAAAAGTTATGAGACATTGAAGACATTGGCAACATTGATCAGAGTTACAACAGGTGAAGTATTTTCCTTTCCTAATGAACACCCCGTATCAAATCTATGATCACTCTCCCATCGTCCTCGGTTGGGAATATTTTTTTTTCTGTGACGGGAAAAAAGTTTGGCATTTCATCTCTGTTGGCAGTTTATAAAATGTCACTTTCCATAAATTACTTTTTTCCCGTGGGTAAAAAGTGAGTACTTTTTTCCCGGATATATATCACATATAATACACTGTTGATGGCTTTTGTTGTGCTATAGTTCCAAAAAATGAGTCAATAATACCGTCTCCGAGAGAGAACTGCAAGTCCTTTTATCTTCTATTCGACTTCGCGGTTATGTATATTGCTAAACAACCACTAAATTCGGTATTTTTTGAAATCAAATCACAGAATTAGACTGACAGAATTGACATCGTATATTTGATTAGTTGAACATAATGTAATATCTTCTCAATATTGTCTGTCACAGAAAAAAATAGTATATTATACACGGAAAAAATATCAGATTTTAGCTCACGGTTTTTACAACACAACCTGGAGCTAGAATCTACTACTTTTTTCCCTTGTATAATAAATAATTATTTATTGGGGTCAAGAAGCGGTTGTATCTGACTTTTTATCAGTGTATGAAGTAGAAATTTGCACTTACATATTAGAGCATTGTTTATGAATAAGAAGTAACCACATACATATTCAGTGTCTACATTCGAAGCGTACTACCCACTCTCGAAACAACAAGTTCTAGAAATGCATTATTATGATTTATAGTTTGGTGGTGAATGAAAAGCCTCTGGGAACTTTGGGATTAATTATAACTTACATTTTGGCAACTAATTTTTGTTCCAAACTTATTTAATGTAGCCGGATATATACAGGGTGATAGTGTACCTATTTTGTATCTGACATGTTGTTGAAAAAGAATCATTATTAAAAAATCCTTCACCCTGTATTATCTGTATCGAGTGGAAAATATGGGATTAAACAATTCACCTAGATTTTTAGTGAAAAGTTTCCAGCTATAGTTTCAATGGGTTTAGGAATAAACACTCTCCGAGTGTGAGTTTGAGAATGGTTTCGGATTTTTGGATTATATATGAAAGGTTTGGAAATTACATATTGATAGTGTAGTGATTATTTTAAGGAGTTCTGTGAAAAATTGGTGTTAAAGCAGCCACACAAAAATCTACAAAGATTTGCCAATTTCTTCCGTTTTGAAGGATATCTTCTTGAAATCAACTAGATATAATTGACATGTCATTTTTCTCCAACGAATTTATTCAAACAATGATCGATGGCAAAGACATGATGGAAGATGGAATTGTGATATTTATTGATTGGTGTCCCGAAAAATGGTATCTCAAACATGACATTTTGAATACAACCATATATGTATACCGGGATTTCCAGAGTTTCTAGAGAGAATCAAACCTAATATCATATTTTTTCATTATTCCATAGTCCCCCACTCTAACACCCTGTATAATGAAAAGTAAAATATGGTATGTACGAAGCTGCGTTCAGAATGTCATTTTCAGTAAAAATATAGAATCAGTCCAATCATCAGAAGAGTTACACGGAAAAAATATTCATTTTGACATATCTTACTACTATTTATATATTAATTGATTTTTTCTCCAAATGTCATCAAAAGTGGCTTCTCCCAGAAACTTAGCAAGCTGGGAAAGTTTGTCGCTATACAGTGTGGTCATTTAAGTGTGCAACATAATGGGAATCTTTCTAATGAATTGCACAACCAAAATACAGATGAAGCCAAAAGTTGATGCATGTTCGGTTATCATTCTAGGTGCACTTAGAATGGTTGCATGTCACACAGCATACAGGGTAGGTCAAAAAATATTAAACTTGCTCAAGAGTAAAGTACCCTTATTTCAGAAAATTCAGCAAAATGTTATTGAAAAAAGATGTTTACAATTGGAAGTTATGCACCAAAACATGGCCTCCTGAGACATTTTTTAGTTTTTCAATTTTGTTCGTTAATAATTTCCCAATTTGTAATATTTCAAATACAGAATGTGCGCATTGAATGGAAGTTTTTGAATATGCATATTTCCATTTTTGATGTTTTACCTTGTTGAAAATATGGTTGCCGAAATTTTGAATTCAAGCTAAATATCGTTGCAACAAACATAAAGTTTGGGGGCCAGGTAGCCGTGCGGACAGAGTGTCTATATTCTAATCCGCATTCGCTGGCCGGTCGTGGGTTCGAGTCCCGTCGACTGCAGAAATTTTTCTTATGGCCCAAGAAAGTGTTTGGGATCACACGTTAAAAGGTAAGGCCCCCGTCATTCCTTGCTCGCACAAGACTCTCGAAGACTTCTGAGGGTTGCTCGTAAGGGGGCAACCGAATGACGGATAGAACAATTTTAGAACAAAAATTTTAGTAATTCCCTAAAAGAATTAAAAACTAAGTTAATTGCACAAATATGCTCAAATTTGAACAAAGGTATGCTCAACTGATTTTGTCATGATTAACTTATGGAAGTATTCAGGGTGAATATAAAAAAAATTACAGATTGGAAAATTATTCACGAACAAAATTGAAAAACTGAAAAATGTCTTAGGAGGCCATGTTTTGGTATTTAGGCATAACTTTCAATTGTGAACAACTTTTCTCAATAAAATTTTGCTGAATTTCCTGAAATGAGGGTACTTAACTCTTGAGCAATTTTTATATTTTTTGACCTACCCTGTATGCTGTGTGACTTGTAACCATTTTAAGTGCACCCAAAATGATTATCGAACATTCACCAACTTTTGGCACTATCAGTATTTTGGTTGTGCAATTCATTAAAGAGATTCCCATATGTTGCACACTTAAATGACCACACTATAGGTATATGCAACGTTCCATGTTTCAAGTAATAAATTGACAATGACATCGGGTGAACACAAAATGATGGATTATTTAGACTTTGCGTGAAATTGGAACGAATTTGGAGAAAAAATTATATGTTTCACACGGCAAAAAAGAAGATGCAATGCCTTGGCTAAGAAACTCCAGCCGTGGCATTAAATCTTGTCCTTTTCTGCCTAGTAAAACAAATAGCTATTTACTTACTCTACTTTTTTTCCTATATATCTAAATAACACCGGAAAAATTCAAGGGGTTTTTCCTTCTAGCAAATGAAGTTCATATAAATATGTGCCCTAACTTACTCCGTTTTCGAGATACAGGATGTTGAAGTTGGAAGTATTAATTGTTTTTATTCATAACCCCCCTGTAAAAGCTTTCAGGATGCCAAAATTCAGTATGGATGTCTGAGAAAGCCCCAAAATTTCAGAATGATTCTAATTCAAAGGATAAAATAAATATTATTATTATTATTATTATTAATTGGGGTTATTGAGTAATCTCAATGGAAGTCTTGAAAACACCTACATTGTTTCCCCAGAAACTAAGCTAGATACAAAAATCACACAGAGGATAGAAAAGTTGTTATTTCAATAGTTCAATCTAATAAAAATATGAAATTCAGAAAAACCTGTGGTGTACAATGAATTCGCCATGAATATCGATAAATATACCCACTGTGACGCCACGGGAAATATTATTTCGAATATAATTGCACTAGAAGAAGCTCCACATCACTATTAACGAAATCACAATGTTTTATTGACATTGATGAAAAGGCAATTGAGAAATGAATAGACAAAATAGTTTTCATGGAAATATTAATACCCTGTATCTCGAAAACGAAGCAAGTTAGGACACATATTTATATGAACCTTATTTCCTAAAATAACACAAGGAAACACCACTTGGATTTTTTCGTTGTTATTTAGATACATCATGTATATGTTACGGACTTTATGGATGACACAAATATTGTGTTGACACAATGAATCTGTTTTCGAAGAAAGTTGAAAAAATGTGTTTGTTCCATCTGTCAAAATCTGAATATTCTCCTAATTCCCATATGATAGTGTAGAAAGAAAAGCTAATGTATTTTTTTAGTCATTCAATGAAGGTTCGACGTCTTAAGCTCGTTTCAAATATCACCTATTTTCATCAATATCGTACAAAATCTAATTGAAAATCACTGAAGATATACCTCCAAAACGGAACGACCTTCCAATTTCGGTACCTAAGTGGCGCATGCGTCGAAGAACGTGTCACGCCTGAAGACCTTTAGGGCCTTCTATGACAAGGTTCTCCTATGAGCACTTACGAGAGGTCTGCCCCAGTACCAAGACTTGACTTTCTGCGTCCACCCGCCCAAGCTAGACCGCAGCCCGCCGAGGTACCCGCTCTGCAAATACACACATACATACGGTACCATCGGGTACCATCATGGTCGCTTGCTACACCGCGATCGCCGTCGGGTACCTGTCACGCGCCTTTCAAGCATTATCTTTGATTCTTCACTGGACAGACAGACTGAGTACATCAGGTACCCACCTTTCATGAATCATTTAGGTTTCTTCAATCGCGAGTACAGTCGTATTAAAAAAAAGCGTACATGTATATTGGAGGGAGAAATTAAAGTCATCCTATTTGCCTAAAACGGGCTATCAGGAATGAATGTTTACCAAATGTTGACAGTAGAATAATCATAGGTTCTTGAAAACACAAAGCATTGGCTGAGCCAATTTTACACAACGAGAACTAGGATGCCGAAATCTGTTTAATACTTGTACGCATTTTTATTGAATACGACTGTACCTACCAACTAGATCTGGCCCTAAAGCGAGGGGCAAACAAATCTCATAAAATCATAAAAGTGTACACCATATCTAAAGTCAATGATATTTGTGAGTAATGAAAATATTTGAAAAATATTTCAAAGTAATTCATGTAATCAAGAAGTACTGAAGAGTAATTAAAGGAGGATTTGAGAAATAATCAGAAGATTCAAGATACTTTGAAGGGAGTTGAAAAGAATCTAATAATGTTAGAAAGGTATTTGAAGTAATGAAGGAAACATAAAATAGTATAATATTGTATCTTGAATTTTGTTTTAGAAACGTTATTTTCTGTCTACCGGAACTATTGAACGTTCCAAAATTTGCAGTTAATTTGATCAATTCAATATTTTTTCGAAGTTGAAAATGTAAAAAAATAAGCCGATCCCGTTAATTCGGAATGAGGTAATTTCCTGCATATGGAGGTTCGAAGGCCTGATGAACAATATTATGGAGTTAGCTTCCTTGCAAAAAAATTTCTAATATGATTTCATAAAAACCGACCCCTTTATATTTGAATAGAAAGGTACGGCAATGTCTAAAAGGCTGTTACTAACGCGAACTGAGGCAGACGAGACATGTGAACAATCCTGGGTATCCTCAATACGAACTTGAAAATGATGTCAGGAGACTTCAAAAGTATTCGAAGTAATGAAAAATAGAATTGCTGTACTGAAAAAGTGATTGAAATATTCTGAAAGTAACTAAAATATTTGAAAAGTAATTAAAGTATACTCAGAAGGTATTTAAAATACTCAAAAAGTAATTAGGATACTGAAAAAGTAATGAAAATAATTAATAAATAATCAGAGATACTGAAGATACTGAAATGGTAATTTACAAATAATTAAAATAATGGAGGGATTTAGAAAACTAATCAAGTACTTAAAAACGCAGGATGTACACCATAAGAGTTGTTTGCCCCTCGTCCTAAAGGCACCCTGGTGATATGAAAGATGAAATAGTACCATAAATGACTGGTTTAATGGATACTCGTAGTTTGAGAAAATATCTAACCCCCATTAAGCTAGCAGAACCATTTTGCATTTTAATTTTTTTTCTTCGGCCATGATTTAAGGCTAATTCATTACCCGATTGCCGAATTAATTGCTCCCAGACTTATGCAAAAAAAACGTGGGTTCTGCTAGCTTAACGTTAAGCTATCAGAACCCATGTTTTTAACATGAATCGGACAGCAATGAATTCGACAATCGGGTATACATTTTATTAACCTTGAATTATTGCCTAAGGAAAACCTAAAAACTCCAAAATGATTCTGTAGTTTAAGAAAGGTAATAAGCATGATTTTTGATTAGGAATCGCAGAATAGCATTATCATGGCCATGGTGGTACCTGTCTCAGATCAACAAAAGACTTGCTTTGGAAATACACCTCGATTACTCTAGGGTATCCGCGTTTCAAATATCATAAATGTTTCTTACATCCACCATACAAAAACTATTTTTGATTATCAAACGAGTTAAAGTCATTCGAGAATCATTCATGGTGTTCCATTCTACAGTACCATCTCATACTGGTTCCACTAGCACTCTGATTCTCGACTGTTATAGCAATGATCGTCTATGATTATTTACTTGACGGTTAGTACCATCAGGTACCACGTGGTATCTGTTTAACGGGTACTTGGAGTTCAAGAATCATATAAAGAGTTTCCCGAAATCAGCCAGCCAAAGATGATATATCTTGAGTATTCCCGAAACTCCATGTAATAAAAAGCAATTTGGAATTTGATACAAGAACTAAACTTTCATGCCCATAGCAGTGAAAATAATAATTTCAAAATTTCACTCAGGAGTATATAATACAGGGTTGGACTACTATAAATATTCTGTTTGCAATCCACACCTCTTTACAGAAAGAAGGTACTCTTGTTATGTAACGATCAGATCAGAAAAAATTGCACAAAAATTGTAGCAGTTTTGGATCATCATTTTTCTATTCTGTTTGGTGGAAAGAAAGTAGTTGATTTTTTCATAGCAACTATGATGAAATGAAAATTGGCAACGTTATGCATAAGATATGAGTGCATCAATATTTTTAAATCGAATTCACTCGAAAATTATACATCTGATCGATGCGGAACACGAGCACCTTCTTTTTGTAAAACGGTGTGGATTTTCATAGTCCGAGATTAAATTGTCGCAAAATATGCATACAAAAAAGTTTGAGCAATATTTAAAGTAGTCACACTCTGTATTATACACTCCTGAATGAAACTTCAGGATGATTTAATAATCACCGCATTGGGCATGGAAAGTTTATATCTTTTACCAAATTGCATCATTTTAATTCGTGAAGTTTCGGAAATATTCCCTTAGGAGACATTTCTCGTTCATTGGAACTTGGACAGGCTAATTTCGGGACACCCTGTATATGATTATCAACTATAAAAAGTACATCAGGTTCAGTCAGTTACCATCAGGGGCTCACTAGTACATGCCGTTGAAGAATCAATGATAATTCTTGATAAGGAAGTACCATTAGGTATATTCATAACTTTGGGTAGTTGTTTCACCGGGTTTTTGACTAGTTGGTATCAATATTTGTTACACAGTGCCAGGTATCCAAGAACCATCTGTATGATGTATTATTCGTGACTATGAGGTACCATTGGGTACCGATCCCACAGGTACCCATCGCGAATCGTTGATCTTTCACTATTTTTCAAGTCTACTGTTTTATTTAATTATGATTTTTATTTGAATTTTGATGTGTGCCTGTTTGATTTCGAAATCGATTCTATAGCTCGATGAAGACTCTGAACTTAATCCCTCTATACTGATTGAAAACGCTAAGCACTATATATAACTACTTTGGCATTCTATTTTATAATTTCTCATATGGATTTCTGCTATCTAAAAAAACTTTTCTATTGACAGCCTATAAATATTTTTCTAGTATTCAGCATTCTATCAGCTAACATCAGATAATACAAGAAATACATAAACACCTAACCACAGTTTTCATAATAGTGTAGATTCTTGACAATTCGTTGTGACAGTGGGTATGTTGATGAGTTGAAAGATTCATTTCGGTGCGGTACCATTGGAAGCGACGGTACCTTTCGTGTTACACAAGAAACTCTTCAGTTCTTGCGTTTACCAAAAGCCCTCGCAACTTCCTAGCCTCCTGTTACTCGATGGTACCTTGCGGTACCGTGCCATTAGGTTATGGGTAGCATGCCCGGTAACGGTCCGACAGTACCGGTACCAGTAGCTATGGTATCTTTTTCTTTTTAATTTCAGTTGATCGTGATGGTACTATTTATATACATTTCAAAATCAACAAAGTGCTTTTGGTTCTACAACAGCAATATTATTATTGCTAATTTACCTATAATAATATTGTTTAATGAGCACGGAATGATAGTCATTTCCCACGAGTATGGAGTTTGCATAATGCTGCTAATCATACGAGTAGTAAATTAGTATTCCGTAAGAGACCTGATTTATTGTAAAATAATAACCACAACTGGAACACAATAAAGTCTTTGTTTTCTCAGGCAAGGAAATAGAATTGAAGACAAAGGTACAATGTACATTATTTTATCGGAAACAATCAATAAAGATCAGCTTTGATATTTTGTATTCCATATATCCTATACCTACCAGGTAGGTTCTTGCTGGATATAAGCAACAACCAGTTTTACTCAAATATAATTTGATAAACAAAAAATAATGTAAGGTTCTGATGTGAACGATGGACAGTGGGCAGCGAATTTACCTATACCGTGGCTATTTCTGTTCTCCTCATGAGCGGTGGTACCAATACTTACCATTGGGTACCACAAGAACCAGACCATACAGTATATATACATTTTAGATAATAACTGCATTTCTTTATTCGCAAATAATTTCGAAAATATTTGTTTTCAGTAACATCACTTTTTGACACGGCGTATAGGCGTTCTTTCATTAATTTTATTAAAAAGTAAAAATTTTTGTGATATTTTTCTCGAATTTTATAGTTTTATTGACAATTGTATAGGGGATATTATGATCACCAAAATAAGGACAAAAGATTCATATGAATCCGACGATGCTTTGTTTCCGGAATAGAGGATTTTATACGGTTTTGAAAAAATAAGATTATCAGACATCTACTAGACTAATTAGATTTGATCCATAATTTTCAGGAATGTATCCAGCGAGCAATAAGTCTGTTGTTTTTTGCAGAAAAAAAATCGCCCCATAGTTTTTGTACGATTCTCATCAGTTATTCGCGAAAACACTGGATACAAAACATCGCCTTCCCTTAACTTTTTCCAACTTCTTAACCCTCCAGTGCTGACGGGGTTTCACGAAACATGAATGGTGACGTCGGTCTGAGAGACATTCAATTTTTTTTTGTAATAAAAAAATACAATCAGAATATAATCAGTTTATATGATTCTGCTCGAAGGAAACATAATTCGAAATCAGATTATATTATTAAAAACAGATCCTCTTCATCCGTCATATATACATGTTTTCATGGGATGTACGAGTCTTCTTTGTTCTGCTCCTAATATATGGATGATTTCTGTTTGAAATAATATTCCATCCGTATGAGAATATATACCTCTGATTGAATACGC